TGTAGTGTTGTTTTGTGTTTTTGATGTGGAATTGATGGAGGCAATATTAAAATGTTGTTATTTTAGCATCAGAATTGGTTTTTAGATCTAATTGGAATTTGTCCTAAATAAATCTATATTCTATTGTATTTTAGCGCCGATGTTTAATCGCTACCAGTTGGTTTTTCCTGAGAGTTATATATAATATAGGGTCTGTCAAGAGCCTTGTCTTTAGGTTCCTTAAAAGCAACACGACTCCTCTGCTATACCTATAGCCCCTAAATTAAATTTCGTTTTACCATCGTCTTTAAGCCTAAATTTAGGGGGCCTTTTAACATTTAGATGACCCCTAACTCGGTGAAACAGAAACTGTTCCCTAACAGCCCCCTAACCATGCTTAGGGGATCCCTTAAACTTAGATGACGTTGGTGAAATCGGGCGTGTCTGTTTGAAATTTTTGAAATAATATCGGAGTCCTAGTAAAACGTATAATTTTAAGACTAACATGAACCTTAACGCTAAACGAGCTTCTCGATTTTTTTTTCATGCCAGCGCCAATGCATGTAGGTACAATATATGTATAATATAATACAATTGTATTATAGCTGTGCTGCTTTGTATACGTCAACAATCCTTTGATTGGTGAATGTTTGATAAATCTACTTTCAGAGCGAAAATCTCATTATCAGTGCTCTTCTACAATTTAAAAAATAAACGGACGCCGTTCGTCCGTCCTTGCGTACTTACGAAATATAGAGATTATTTCTATACTGTTACTCGTAAATAGATAGGTAACAAGGCAAAATAATAAGGCGTAAATAATAATTGCCACCAAAAACATTTTCATGTAAAATGTTGCCAAGACGAGAGAGACTATATGGCTCGTACTGTCAAAAAGTTATCAGATGTCATGTAGAGCTAAGCTTTTAACTCTACATGTCTTAACTCTTCAAGCCCGTACCTACTTCATAAACTCTACATCTTAATCAAAATATGTGTCTGGCTGTGGATTTTCGCTACCGTCATAGGCGGGCGGGCGTAAGGCGAAAAACTTATTCACTAATAAATAAATAAATATGTTCGGACATTAGCACACAGCACCATCTAATTCCATGGTAAGCTACGAGGCTTGTGCTATGAATACCAGATAGTTGATTCACTACACATATATAACTTTAAATACATACATATTATAAATATAAACACCATGACTGAAGTACAAACATTCATGCTCATAACACAAATAAATGCCCCCAGCGGGACTCGAACCCGCGACCGCTGGCACAGAAAGTAGGGTCACTACAAACTAAGCCAATCGTGTCGTCAAACTTCACTGTTCATTACTTTTCTGTTTTAAAATAGTTCTCGTAGTAACGATGTAATGTAATTTTATATTAATTATAAATAATCTTATATGTTTAAATTTTGTTCAACTATATGTATGTTCAATCAATTTATTACTAAAATTATTACTTTTAATATTTACGAATCTATGTTCCGCACTTGGTTTAAAGCTTAACGCACTGATAATAAATATAATAAATAAATTATGTGTTATTTAAAAAGACTGGAATCCAGTTATCAAAGTGAAGAAAAAAATAATAACAAAATCCTATACTATACTATATTATTAAGATAATATATCTTTTATGTTGAAATGAGTTATTAAATTTAAACATGCATCAAAAACTTAAAGAACTATGAAAGCGAAACAAATAATCAGTTTGTTAGAGCAATGTTATTACACGCATAATGCGAGATCGATTTCGTTTGATTGCACTGCTTGTGTCTAAACTATAAAAAAATGTCTGAGTTACCAATTCGTTTAGAAAATGAGACTCAGACACCAAGGACGTAGACTAAGCGTTATTAGTAGACTGTATATTGGTATTTTAAAATCAAGCACTCTTAAGACCTTGAAAGAAGAAAAAATGTTATTAACCCGATTTTCATGGTTGATTTTGTAAAATAATGGAATTAACCATGAATCCATTGTAATGTAAATAATATAATAAGGTTCTATACGAATGGCACATGGCACACTATAAGTGAAGAGCGTTTTATATAGGTACTTATTTACTTATACTTATTTTTTATATTTATACTTATATTTACACATACTTTATACTTACTATGTATATTATAGATACGAGTATATCCATATCAAAAATTAGGGAAGATGAACTTAACTAGCCATATCAAATTACCGAATATTACCGAAGCCTTTGTTAAATTATTATGTAATGTAAATATGACTCCAAAGCATCATCTATCTAGATTCTTCCTAAAGAGAATAAAATGTTCTTTTGTATGTTTGTTTGTAACGGAGAAACTAAAAATCCGTTGAACCGTTTGAGATAAAATTTGGTATGAAGATAGTTTGATGTCCTGGAAAGGGCATAGAATAGTATTTATCCCGGAAATCATCCTTTAAGAAAGTGAGAAGGTTGATGAAACTTTGTATGGGGAATCAATCATTTCTCAAGTAAGGAATATAAAACTCATCATATCTATGTATATAAAATATACCAATACATAGTCTATCTACTCCATACTAAGCGTTAAAACGTACCTAGGCACGAACTCGAGCGAAGCGAGGGTGAGTCACTAGTTCCTCGTATATTTTATTTTTGCAAACTGGTGTAAGTACTAAACGCTTCATAAAACTAACTCATAAGTTATGGTTTCATAAGGTTATATATGCACATGCTAAAAAATCATATTTTTTAGTAAATATATATTTTACTAAAAGTTATAATACTCGTAGGATTATAATATCTGTAGTACCTAAAAAGGAAAGTATTTTTAGAACGAGTAGGACAATAAAACGGTTATTCATATTGCCAGTGTATATTTCACATTAACATGAGCATTTTACAGTAAATTTTCTAATAATGAATAAAGTTGGTAAAATAATAATTAAATTGTAACTGGCTCGCGGCTGCGACGCCACGCTTGCATCACTGATTCATTGTCGACGGAAGCCGCTTGACGAAACGGCACGTGAAGTATGAAGGCTAGACGATCCGGTTCTCATTGTTTTTTGTTAATTGTTAGCGAATGTTATACATATATTATATTTATAATTTGATTGTTTATTTTTTTAAACCCAGAACTTATATTTAATTTCTATTCAGTTTTTGGTTACCAAAGTTACTTAATAAATACTGACTTCTATTATATTATAATGTAATGATAAATGATTTATTTATTTATGTGTGTATGTATGTACCATGTAATATGTAATACAATATAAAGTACGTAACAGAATGTGGACGAAAGGAAAACTTAAATTTCTTTAAGAGATTTTTTCCAGAAACCGTTCTGATGAGAGAAAATAAGTTAATTTAATGCGGTGTAAGTACAGTGTACATCGTGTACATTTACGAATATTTTTTTATTAGCATTATATTCATTTATAGTAGCGCCATCTGTTATAATTGAAGTCGTTTTAAACAAAAACATATTAACCAAGAGATGGCGTTAGTGTGCTTACACTACAGATCACATATTACACTAATAAACGAATATTTATACCTTTAAATTAAGTTTTATTTTAAATTTTTTACTCCAATAAAAATAATATGAAACTAATTTTATAATTTAAAATGTTTATAGTCTTACACAAAATGTCAAACAATAATGCTTCAAGTTGATGGTAGCGCCATCTGTTGTAAATTTTGTTGTTTTAATTAGTAAATGTATCTTAAAACAGATGGCGCTAAGAGTATCTTTAACCGCCATCTGTTATTAAATAGATAAACTAATACGAATTTACATTATACTTTATCTACTAGACACTAGATGGCAGTTTTATATTTTAAATATCACGATAATACTATATTCGTTTTTATAAAGGTTGGTCATTTTAGACCACATTCTTGTCAATAGAAAATATTCTTAAAATATATTATTTGCAATAAGCATATTATTCTTCTTCTGCCTGGCATTATTAATCCCGGCTATTGCCAGGGTCTGCCATTTGCAATAAGCATACCTATTGAGTGTGAGTATATTTAAATCTTAAAAAAATTGCCATATGTTAAATAGGGTCATATTGTTTTTTGATGTTATGAATTAATTCTAAAAGAGATAAGTTTCATTTAACAAGACCTCTTCATTAAAATGTGAAAAATTGTTAATTCTCGTACAAAGCAGGCAATTTTTTATTTATATGCGTGTTACTTTAGTCTCTGTATATTTAATTTGAACTAGTTTGTTTATTTAATTTGAAGTTGATATATTTTGATTTTCATATTTTAAACGTAAAAATATATTAACTTTAAAATCAACTTTAACAAACTTAAACTTTAACAGTTAGTAAGAAAAAATGAATTAATTTTACCATTTTCAATAAATTTTTTTATTATTTATATTATCTATTGGTTTTGGATGACAATGAAATATAAACACATAGATATTTAATATAAAATGATTTATTGCTTACGTCTGCACTTACTTTCAGTTGAAGTAACAAATTACAAATACTGTAAAGCTATGTACACAATGTCGGCGACATTCAAATGGTATCAGTTCGATAACTACAAACTAACGGCACATTTTTCATATACATCTAAATTATATAAATAAGCACCCTAAATAAGCTAAAAGTCTTTCTTTCCTAAAAAGGCAATAAGTGCCTGCTAGTAATACTTATTGAGATTAAGAAGAAATAAAATTTCATTTTAAAAACAGATCACAAAGCAATCGGAATAAACATCATAATTGTCAAAATAAATAAAAGTAAGATCAAAGGTATGTACACAAGTGGTGAAAAATGAAGTGAACTTAAGTACACATGCGCAGAGGAACTTATTAAATACTCTCAATAAATTAACAATTATTAACTACAGAATACTAAATATCACAGAGAAAGTACCCATTACTTAATCAACTTAAAGTTTCGTCAAACGATTAATTTAACGTCTCACGAGTTAGAGAGCAAGTAACTAACAATAAATAAGTACAAAAGCAACATACGGACACAGAATAAATATTTAAGGGATATTACGAAATACTCAGCTCATTATAGATACATTATTTTTACTGTTCTTGTTTTTCTTATTGCCTAACTTCTCCCTCATCTTTGCATGGTAAGCAGCGCATTTTCTATCGGTCTTCTTATTGAGTGGGCACCTAAATTCGTAGTACCAGTTGTTCAATAAGTTCCCATAACCTCTGAATGCTATGTAATCGTTTTTGAGGCACTGGGTGGCGTCAACTTTCTGCTTTAGTGCATCCAGCTTCATACGATTTTGGTCGAATTTTTGATAGGATATATTGACGTCTACCATGTTACACTCTATTTCTGCGGTTGTGCTTGATAGCTTATCCAATGTATTGGTAAGCAGTTTCCGACGTACAATCATATAATTTGCGAAGGGGTCATCCGATAACTCCGGTTGAACTTTCAAGAGCAGATGAAAAATTGTTTCATACTCTTTCAGCGTCTTGAAGAGTTTGGGCATCAAATACGAGAACTGTAACAAAAGAGAAACACATTAAGTTTGTATTCACTTGAACTCTTGATATTCATGTTGATAGATGGCGTGAAGATATTTAAGTTAGAATTAATATAATATTTATACATATTGTGAACAGTTCGCGACGCGGCCAATTTGTGTCGAGGCTGTATAATCTATAAGTATTTGTGATTGTATAACTATTCTCGTGACATTATTGAGGAACTATGTAGTATGTAGATAACGTACCTAAGTTTTAAAGATTATCTATATAGGATAGTTCAATAGTTTAACAAGAAAATTTATCTGTAAATGTAAAATATATGTGGTAATATGAATTGTGCTGTTCGATGAAAAATGTAAGGTCAGATTGCGTTTAATTTTTCTCAGTATTGGCCGTTAACGGTTTTACTCATTGTTTACGTTCAGTTAAGTGATAAAATGTATAGTTGAAAGAAGGATTATATGAAAACGCATCTAGATAAAATGATTTTTATGAGTCAGTATATCTTTATTTTATAGTGTAAATATCTGTTGGAGTAAAATTATGATGCAGGTGATCATATTTCAGGTTAATTTTTTTAAATTAATACATGGATATATTAATATATAACATAGAGCATGACGCAATACTAAACTATTTCTCATGATATTGATTAGGAAGTAAATTGATAACGTCAATATAAATTAATTTATTAATAATATTATTATGAAAGATTTTACCTATTGTAATTTCAATTTGAAAAATAATAAAATAAGCGAACGGCCAAATAGGTATTATCTTATTTTGTAATATTAAATGAGCAGTTCTTGTATATAATATATAATTACATCCATAATCTCGGAAACAGACTAACTCTAACGAGTTAGATCATTTTTTGTATTTAGATAACGCTTCGCTTTTTATGGTTATCTATATACCTAGGTGTCTTTGCTAAAAAACGCAATTTTTATATGTTTTCCAAAAAAACGTCGAGGGAAACTCGGTCGCCCAGGTACTTATTATTGTACACCGTGTATCGGAACATTTGACATTTATAAGTCGTAATAAGCCGTATATTTGCCGAAATATCTCTTAGGCTTACATGAAAATCAATTTGCAATAAATTTCCTATGTCGAGTATCAATTACGTAATCTTATAAAATAGGTGTTTAACCTACGACAATTTAAAAGGTCGGTTAGTTATAGTTACAATGATGATGAATAAGTTCCAAGCAAACAGATAACTAGACTAGCCGGTTTGACTTACGAGACACAACCACAATGCATTTCGATATTATAATATGTATATATATATATATATATATATATATATATATATATATATATATATGTTTATATTACTATATTAATTAATGTCCTTATATAGAGGAAGTCTTGATTAATTTTGACTAATTATAATAAACAAAGATTTAATTTTAATTTAATTAAAGATTTTTTTCATTCAAATCAACCTTATACACAATAATTGAAATTTATTACTGCATAGTTTACGTTATCAAGAAATTATGTCATGCGCTGAAATTGAGTAATGCGTTTGACTAATGGTTTCAGGAAAACAGTCTACGTTCGTGATCGTTTAATGAATAAAGTCATTGATATTCCTGGTAAGGGAAGCGCCACTGTACTAACACTTAACGTAAATCAAATCTAACTAATTCCCCTGAAATACTTCGAAATGAATCAGACTTATGAAATCGACTACTCGTGTAGCGGAACTATGACGAATTCAAACTCCAGCTGTTATTGTCTGGTTTTAAATAGCCATTTCCGCTACTTTAAAATTCTCCATGAGGCGTTACAACATCAGTATTAAATGATAAGCCTTTTTGTCCAATTTTACTATTATATACTTGTCGCGTTGAGAAAAGAAATAGGACGAGGAATTTTCAAAATAACTCATGGCAAAAGAAGATAAAATTCACTAAGTCTAACAATGGACCCTAAAATCAATCGTGAACACTTCAAGGCGTCATAAAATCAGTTCGTTTAGAGCATTACGTCCAATCCAGTGAAGTAGGAACGATAATAAAAGCGCCGGGCTCTGTGTGCAAATATGGTGGGGTATTAAAGCTGAAAACCCGACAATACGCCGTACGTTAGCCTTAAAGAGCCAAGTCTAAGCGAGGAACGTGTTGGAGACAAACGCAGCGCGCCGGAATCGTAAGTTCACATTCGTCTCACTTGGACAAATAATGTGTTTTTAACATTTCGTGTTGTTTTGTTAAATCGTAAATACTGAGTAAACACTAAAGCCTCAGAGCGATCGCTTAAGCATTTGTCACCGTGAAAGCGTCTCGAGTTAGCACCTGTGGAATGCCTTTCTCATCATTTTTCCCGACAACTTGCACGATTTTTATGTTTTTCGCACAAAAAAGTGAGTGATTTTTCACAAGACTTAAGAATATTCTGTATGAACTATGTAAATAATTTATAATTAAATATCGCGATATTATTATTTATTTAATAATATTAAATGGCAATATGGTATGTAACGAAAACAAATGGAAGGAATAACATAAACTCTACTAAGTGTCAATGTAGTAAGCAATACAAGCCCTTGATTTCTAATTAGCATGATTATTTAATTACGCTTTAAGTATGTCCACGATATGCTTTAGTAAGGCCCTCTGTTTTAACGTCTCATTTAAGCGGTATTTAATTTTTAAATTGTTCGTAAGTCAACTAAGGCCGAGCGAAGCTGAGATCACTTGAATTCTAACGCTTTCCTTTGCCCAATGTTAAATATTTGAATTTCTTAAGTGGGCATGCATTGACGAACTGTCGAAACATACACAAGAAATATTTAATATTCATTGACATGGATACTGAGCGATTCTACACTCGCGTGTTAAAAAAAATTATGTCGTCGGGGCGCGGCGGAGGGCCCTCTGGCCCCTAGTGTAAGGACACCGGACACCCAATATATACTTATTGTCTCGACTCGAGTTCGTTTTTGTGTACTAATTAGTCGGTGTTCAATATGAATACGTAATAGAAAGTCTCGCGGTCCAGATGTGTGTTCGGCAAATAATAAAAGCTTTGAGAGATCCGTTATGAAGCACTTATGGATTTTGTATTTTAAAAGCGGAGGTGGTTTGTATAAATCTCATGTTTAAAACGAACGAATTAACGCTATTAAACTTTAGACAAACAAAGTTGTTATTGTAAACACTCTTAAATAGATATTTTCACAATGGACTTTACGTAAATTAAAGTTTTATTTTGCTTTCCGTCATAGATAATATTATATTTTATATTTCTCTCAGCACGATTATGTGGAAAATAACTTTTTGAAACGCTATTTGGTCGGACTGAATGCGACTTAACCGTTCATTTAAGATCGCGTGCGCACAACGGAATCTGTCGGTGTCCATCTATGCAAATTTCCTCGAAACATTTAACTGGATCCTTGGTTTGCTTCGCTCCCACTGCGACTAAACAAAAGTCAGCGTCGTTTTATTCTTTTACATTGTTTTTTATTAATATTTACATTGCACTTGGATATTTATTTGAAATAGATTTATCTTTCCTTTCGAGATTAACATATTATAAACGTATTAATATAAATTAAACAAATTGTGTGTTAAAGCTAATAAAGCCATATCGATCAACCGAAAAACTAATAACGGTATACGAAAAATTTAAAACCAACCAATTTGCTAACAAAATGCGGCAAGAGAAATTAAGGGGTTTGTATTTTAGTTATTGCCCTTAAGTACAATGTGAAGTAAATAAACGGGGTACAAAGGCCGGCCACATGTAATTTGGTTCGATGAAACCTCATTTAAGTTGCAACAGTGAGGCCTCGAGCTTGGCTAATATACTCGGGGATTCTTTGTCTCAAATAAAGCAAAAATAAATTAAAGTAACGTAAAAACACTGAACGGGTAACAAAAAGAGTGATGGGCCGGACCACCACACCCTCGAGATGCAAAATGATCGGCTTTAGTAATTACACTGTCAGACTGTTTGAAGCAAATTTCAAATATTAAAGGCGCCTTCAAATCATAACCATTCTGAACGATAAAACATCAATCAACACGAGAGAATCTAAAACGCTATCGACACGTTTGTTATGCAGACAGAACTAATACAAAATGGTATAAAGATTGATTAAAAGGGTTTTGTGAACAAAATGAAAACTCACCTTTCGTTCGGTAATAGATTTTCCTTTTCGCGAAGTTTTGTAGTCATGGAAATGGATGTCGACGAAGTTGACTGCCGGTAGCCAGGTGGGCATTCCGTCCCTATACTCTCGCGTCTCATTAAGGACTCTTCGGTCTTGATCAAAATACCGTTTTGTGTTGCGTAATTTATGTTTTATCATTCTTGTAGCATTTCTAAATTGGTCAGAGCTTGGATTTTTTGGTCGCCTAATCGAGTCTTTGGTCATATGTGCCATGTTATCCGGTCGTCTTTGGTGCCGTCTCTTATGTTCCACCGAACGAGCCTCCGCTGGCGTTAGACACATGGCTATTAATATAATTACGGATACAGCTACCAATAGCCTTTTGGAAAAACCTGTAATAGAATAAAATAGACATCAATTATAATGAAAACATTTTGATATAAATTTTAAAAGATTTAAAAAAATATTTTATAAGGTTATTTGAATAACACGAAGGGTTTATCTAAATAATATCATATTCTAGTTTAGTGAGAAATAGTAAAAATAATTGGCTTTCCAATAATCGTAAAAGCGCTGTTATAAGAAAAATTATAATATAAATAAAGTCCGTACATTCTCCATCTCTAAACTGCTCCTTCAAATCTAGAATTGTGCTATGAACAATTTGTAGCATGATACCCAACTGAACCAGTTTTATAAGTGAAAAAAAAATCTGGCACTATTATTAAAACTTCAAAGAACGTATCAGAGCTTTTGTGCAAAAATCATACAAGTTTTCTCGTCAATTTATCGTTTTGTTGTTATTAAAGGTTTGATGTTTGCGTCGGGGCCATAAAATATATTTTATGTTCGAACAGAGAGATGCAATTCTGTAAAGCGACAGAGACCAACTTCTAAAAGAGAAACACCACCAACTTTGCAACGCAAAGCAAAGCTTTGTTCGCCTCAAGTGCTAAAATGTGGAAAGTAACCCTGATATACACTGCGTGAGTATATTTAGTTTTATTGTGCAAGTGAGAAAACAAATTCATTTTATATGACATTGTAAAAAATATATAAGTCACCAATGGAAAAATATAAGATGGAAAATTAACTAGTTCAAAGAATATTCATTATTATATATGAATTACGTTAATCAAAAACAAACAGTATTTATAACAGGAACTTGAATTACGTATGTTACGTCAAACGAGGATAAGCCGAGGTTTATGGTCAGTGAATCATTAGGTCAATCTGTGTCGTTGACAATTCAATGTATGTTAAGTAAATGCGGCCTTACGATTACAGATAAAAAAGATAGACGCGCGAAATGTTAGTAAACTGCTAAGTGAAGAGGTTTTAACGTTGGACTTTTTTATTCTGTGTCTATTGTTTGTGATTACTGATTCTATATCTCTGTCTGATGCATTGTCGAGATCAAACAATGCTTACGTGTTTTAGCACGAAACCAGGTACTGTAGGTTACGTGCGTTATTCGCTATGGGGATTTCCCAACTATTTATCGTTACACGGAATATGATCTCGTGTCAACTTAAATCCAACGTCAAAGCTAATACCTATAAATTGGATTGCAGTTGATGCTAATTAATGCAAAATTATAAATATGACAAATATAGAGCCGAAACAAATTGAAGACGTATAAAATAATTAGCAGCATCCAAAAAAGTATGTGAGGTAATCAATCGAGTTTAAAAAGGTACTCAGGCAGTATCGGATGTCATCGGATGGGTTTCAGCGAATCCCTTTGATTGAGAGCCGACGCTGGCATGTTGAACATTCCCACACGATCCGCTGGCTAGGCTATATCGAAGTCTTTCTCGATTTGTATTGTTCGATTCCAAAAACGTTCATGAAACGAATTAACGTGCCGATTTTAAGAATAACATTTGGTTAAGGCTATGTTGTGACAATCTTTATGGCATACTGTGCAATTTTTGTACAAATTTCGCGATTATGATTTTTGTTCTTTTTTATATTTAAAATCTAAAATATTATGCTAAGATTTAGGATTTTGGTATATTAATAAGCTTTTGAGAATATTTGCAGGGCTTAAAATATTTTGAAGATGCACAAAAATTTAAATTATTTTTTGTAATTTATTTTGTTTTGTGATGTTGTTTGTAAATAATATTGTAACATTATTTTCATCTACCTTCACATGTCAAACGCTTAACGTGACATCGCACCGGTACCGAACGAAGCTCTTTAACTGTTTATTAATAACATAAGACATATTTTGCACACAAATCGTTAATTTGAATTAAGCACACACCAGTTAAAAAGACATCCATGAACAACGCATTGATGTAGCTCCTTTGGGCAAGTCCATATTCATTTGGCAATGTAATTCTCAATTACCAAAATGTTTGAAAGCTTTATAGAACTTCGAAATAATTTAACACTGAAGATCGAATACACTATCACAATTTATCTTATATTTTTTAATCACAAGCTTTTTCATAGGAGTTAATTCGCACTGGGTTACGATTTACGAATACGTTAGTGTCACCGCGAGCAGCGAGTGCGAGACCGGCGCGCGAGCAGTCGACGCACGTTGAATGAACACCGAAATGAGGCACGGTACATGAAATAGCCGGTCAAACTATGCGAAAACCCTTACACGCCCGACGGAAAGCGAACTTCGACCCTATCGGAGACAGTCGTCGCAAAGCTTAATATTTAATGTATATAAAACGAATAGTATCTTTTATATCTTATTAAATTATTTGGATAAAATTAAACAAACAGAAGAATATAAATATATATACATATGGAGTATCTATTACATGTATATAAATAAAATTATTTATTTTATCATTATTTAAATATTACTCACTAATTTTCTTTTAGTTTCTTTTTATATATAGTTAAGTTTCAAAAATATCGTAGATACCATTAAGGATTAAATTTCGAGTTTAAAAAAATTATCATAGGTCACTAAGGTTATTATTATAAATTTTAATTTTCAAAACTACAAGTTTCTCTCGAATTAATTATAAAAAGTTTCACACAATATTACGTCTCTATGTCATTCGCTTTCTATATCTTGTGCAAGTAAACAATTATTCGGTTAGACCTCGCGGTGATTCATCGATGAGTCTATCCTAAAGTGACTTTTATCGGGCATTCGTCGCGATTCACGCTCATGCATAGTTACGCGCGAGCACGTGCTGACTTGTTAGACTGAAAATATGGATTTTATCAATAGTGAATAGATATAATGGCGATAATTGTCTAAAATTTCATTACACAATTGTGTAATCTTTTTCGCAACTTTTAAAATAAGTTCAAAAATATGTATAACTAGCGACGCACCTTTGTTCCGCTTGGGTTCGTCCCTAATTACGTTTTAACGTTTAGTATAGATTTCTCAGAGATGAGACACTTTACCGCTGTAAAAAGTATCCTATATGTTGACCCGGATAACCAGCTACCATGATACCAAATTTCATCAAAATCCTTCTAGCGGTTTTTCCGTGATGCGGTAACAGACAGACAGAAAGACAGACAGACAGACAAAAATTCTAAAAACTATAGATTTAGCCTCTGTATCGATAATAATGTCTATAAGATTTTCTAAAAAATATTAAATGTACAGATTCGGCTTAGTTAGAATTTTATTATATGTATAGATTACGTGTCTGAGATATAAGGAGAATATTTCCTAACATATAATAATATCAGTAATGTCTTTTGAGATTTTTATAAAACAAATATTGAGCTTGAAGGTACACAATAAAAGTAATTTTCGTTTTCTTTTTAACCATGTCTGTCTTCGTGAACGAACAGCAAACACGACGCGAAAAAGAACCCAAGGACTAAACGTAAAGGTAAACTAAGTTTAAAAAGAAAAAATATTGTATGGGAAAGACATTCGAGTCTGACACAGATAGTCGGACAGATTCACCTACGTAGAGACCACGATTAACGCAGAGTATTCTTATGCTACAGTCACACAGTGTTACGTGACTGTACCATATCTAAAATAAAATCTAACAAATCGTGTGGCTTACTGGATCTTATAAAAGCAATATATACCATATTATATTCGACTGTGGTTTGTGGTGTAAGCGTTTGAGCGAGCACCTCAAGTATTTACATTGACACGTTTTTTGTCCCGTGGTTAACAAGGCGACGCCATTGTACTCAACCGCTTATTGATAGTGTCAATAGAAGATTATTATGTTCATGATTAATTACTTGCTATTCCCGAAAGTTATACCTTTGTGCTGGTGTCATATTTGGAGGAATGAGTGTTTTTTATATCATTAATTACTTTTAACTTTTTTACATATCAAACCATAAAACGTTATGTGAAGGCGTAATGAGGTAAGAATATATGCATAACTTATAAGAAAATTAATAGTTCAACTCAGGAGTATTCTAATATCGAGAACCAATGAGTTAACTCTTACATTATTTGATAATACAATATTAGCACATTTTTCATTTTTTTTGTGGAAAGCCCAGTGTAATTAGTCGCTGATACGTCTTTTCTGGTGGGCAATTGTGTTCAGGGGATCGCACGACTAATTTACTTTTTATACTGACCCTTAAATATAGAAACGAGATAAGTAATAATGGTTAATTGGGAGACACGAATGCTTTTATTAAAAAAGTAACCGTGTGTTGAATATATAGGACCTGATTAAAGGTATAATTATATCTTTGTAGCACTTGCCGCCTCGTGATTGCTAAAGCGAGTATTTTAGATATACCTATATTATATATACTTAATTAGTATGGTAGATTATACGGTTTAGAATTGATAGTTGAGGCTGCTCATGTAAAAACTTCCGCCGATTGTTTGGAGCTGAGTCACGGATTTCCCAAATTTTCGCGAAGACACGTCATGGAAAAGCGTCTGAAAGCCTACAAAAGCGGTGTCGAGTCTCAGAATGAATTATCTATTACTCATACCGGTGGGAATAACAGTAGAGTGTTTTCTTCCGCCATAAATCAAAATAATATTTATAATCCTATTACGATGTTCAATTATTTTTTATTTGTATGTAAAGCATAATTTTATATACACATATCTATATCTATTTAATGCCAAGTTTCGACTTTCAAATCATGTTTTATATATAGTTAGAGCCACTAAAGAGTCTTTCAAATCAAACTAACCAACATAGTTTCAGCTAATTTAGCTTTACCGTATACAAAGCACAGCTTCCGCGCCGAGTTTCCTAGAGTCTTTATTATTGTTCTCGCCACAATATAAATCATAGTTGAGCCAACATACACTTTACCCTCAATGCCACAGACTATACAGCTGTCAACAAATAGCTGAGAAAATACTGAAGTGTTTCAGTAGTTTAAGAAGAATAATTGTGGGCTGTGTCCGTTTACAAAGTTTGTGGTGTGCAAGAAATTAAGGTTAAACTTGACGGTGTGGGGTTAAGCCTGTCTGTACTTAGTGCATTATGACAATGGAGATTTGTGCTTTCTAATCGTATATTACAGATGTATGTAATTATACCTACTAAGCAATAAATCTTGGATTTTTAAATATTTATAATTAAGTATGTCCAGTGCATATTTCTTACTAATAAGTCAGAGAATTAAGAAATTAGGTCATCAAGATTATATATAAGTAAAAGTGTTATCACTTCGTAATAATATGATAATATTAGATCACTATTCTGACATAATGATACGATTATTAGTTGAATTTTCCTCGATATCTGTCAGTGGATATCATACATTTTACACATATACTCGTATTACAGGTATATTAACAAATGGTTAATTAAGAAATATTTTATTTATTATAAAGGAAAACCGTAAAGGAAAATTTCTTTAATAATATTTGCTTTAGAAATGTAAGCGAGGTTTAACTTACTTTTTGTATAATATTGCATTCCTAAGGAGTATCCCCTGCAGCAGGTGCAACTTTGGCACATATTGATGTTTTTATCACAGATAATATCGATCTTTGGTATAATTGTCAGTTGTTACGTATCAATCAATCTCACTTTTCACAGTTGTAACGATAGTCACTGGCACATTGCAATTAATATAAAATAAATAACTTAATCTATGGTTTAATTTAAAAATCGAACGTATTGGCGGCTTCCGCGCTCGTTTTGCGTTCAGGCTCGTTGGCGGTTACGTTCAGTTGGCCGCGTTACGTGTAATGTGTGTCCTGAACGGATTTCCACGGCTTTTATGTAGTTGGCCGGCGCTCCCGTGATAAAGGGTGCAAAAAACCGATTGTTTGCAGGAGGGCCCGCCTTTACGTCACAGATTCGACGTCGCGCGCGATCAGGACGTAAACGAACACATGCTCTTGCGCAATACATTGTTCAAATAAATAGCATGTGTTCCCTAGCCGGATCCTGAAGCGGTGTGAAAATTAGTCGTGTCGCTAAACTATCGGTACTGTTATCTATGATGTGGATTGTTTTAATAAATTGTGTAAGTAAATAAATAAATATTTTAAATAAATAATACTTGGGTATAATATAATAAATACCAAAGTTTTGAAAGTATGTTATGTTCTAAATAACTTTTTTAATTTCAGATCATTTTGATTTCTTGTAATATTGAATACTGTAATTAAAAGTATTACCTTAGGAACATTAACTTAGGGCTTTATACTAAAATTAAAAAAAATATATATTAAGTCTCCTTTATTAGGTATATATCTATGTATATCTTATCATATGTACAATAGTAAGCTTTGAGTTATTATTTACATTATAAATATAAGAGAAGGTCGTGGTTTTCCACTGATGTTATGAAGTTAGATTGGTAAAGTATTAGTAAAATTATAACTTCGAAAATATACTCTATCTCTGTACGTTAAGAGTCTAAATGGTTATGAACATTGCACAGGTGTTATAGATTAAATGATGTGATGAAGAACTCACACGATTTTCTAAATAAACCATTGATAAAACAATAACGAGACATATTGCAGAACACGACCGATGCGAGTATTGATTATTTTTAAAAAGTTTTTGTTATTTTCATCCTTTTCTTCCGTTTACTTCAGCTAAGGTTAGATATACACATGCACATGACAACTTTACGCCACTGTAATGAAGAAATTACAGTTTAAAATAGAATTCAGCGAGCTATTCCATTTGCAATTTCAGCGGGGGTGTAGCTTAGTAAATCTTCCCGCCTCCAAGAGAGTCCGCCTCTCAATTTAATCCCGAAATAGTCCCGTATGATTGGTCGCTCAACATAAGTCATTCGCCTATTAAATGCGGCTAGCGCTTAAGCCATAAGCTGATTAAGTACTTAAAGTATAAGATATACGAGGGAGCACTTAATTTAGTTT